GAAGGCAAAAGTACAACCCCTCACCCGCAGTGGTTTGATGAGATGTTTTCATGGACAGGATTTGAAGGAAACGAGTGGCACATTGCTTGCTTGACACCCCCAAAATCAAACAGCGCTGAAACCACGAATCATAATTATATTAGATTTGCCTTCAGATCTGTCAGAGGAGCAGCCCTCTGCTTGCTTCCAGGTGGAATCACAATATTTCTTTGCAGTTCCTTGCTGCCTCCCTCTAAGTCGTTTTATAAGAAACTCTGCATCCAGGGAATTTCCAAAGGCAAGGATGGTGGAGAACAAATGCCCCTCCCAGAACATTAACCTTATTAAGTTGCATTAATTTACACACAACACACACACACACACACACACACACACACACCCCTGACATTTATTTGTAACCTCCAGATATCCACGTACCTTAATTTTATTTGCAAGCCTGGATTTCAATCAAGTGTGCACAACAGGGAATAGGAAAGTAAGGTACCTGAAAAGGTTCAGTGCTTAGTGGACAGGGCACATGGACAGGGGCTGCACTGCCCCGGTCTTAGCAAAAGCACTTCTTGACTTCCAGAGTTCTTGCTCCAGCGAGGCTGGGCGATGGGAAATTGTCCCGCTGTCAAAGGGTGCTTGTGCTTTGCTGAATCGTCACTGCCGTCGGAGCTGACTGTCAGATCCTATTTGCTCTGCTAAATAAGGATATCTCGCCAAATTAGCCTTTAATGATACTTCTACAAAGAGGGTGCTTTCTGTGAATTACCCAGGCCGGAACACGGAACGTTACACCAAGATCCTGAGTTAAAATCGCGGCGATGAAGCCGTATGTTGAGATTACTGAATTGTTACGTGTGGAAAACCAGGCAGGATTTAGTGCTAAATGGGAATGCCGAGCGTTTGCTCAGTACAGTCACTGCTTAAATTCAGCCCTCTGAAACCGGGCATGTAATTATATGAATACCTTTAGCAAACTTTTCCCCCACCCCCACCCCCTGAGTCTGGAAACAGGCAAAGCAGTATGATGAAGAGATTATAAATCAGTACTTTGCAAGTGAGAAGTTGTCATTAATTCGGCAAAGAATCACAGCTTCTTTTCATAGTCTTACCACCACCCCTCCCCGCACCCACCAAGGGAAAAAAACACCTAAACATGGAACTGATGCACACACTGATTACCTTTTGCCTTTCTCCTCTGCGTAAAATTTCATTAAGCAGTTGCTATCCCACTCCCCACAAGAAGTGTGGATTTGGCGGGGGA